GACAAAGTCCACCTGGATGAGGAGAAGGCGACCCATCCTGACTGACTTCCACTGGCATTTCCTACCCATCCCCACTCCTCTCCTTGCCCCTGGTCAGTCCCTGATAAGATATTGTCACTTTGTGGTGGCCTTAATGGGGCCCCTCAAGGATGCCCGGTTCTCCTGCGGACCCCATGAAGTTGGCTGCAGCACTTTGGTGTGATTTGACCATTGAAATGTGCTGGGAGTGAAGCCTGTCACCTCTGACAGAAGAGTCTGGAAGCACTGAGACCAGCTACCCTCTCTGTCCTTCTCTGATAACACCTAGGAGGTACCTATATGGTGGCCTCTCTTAGCCTGGTCCCAGGAGAACCAGGGTGTTCATGTGCTATGAACAAGAAATATCCCTTCTTTACTCTAAGCCAGTGGTTCTCAACCTTCTGGCCCTTTAAATACAGTTCCTCATGTTGTGACCCAACCATAAAATTATTTTCGTTGCTACTTCGTAACTGTAATGTTGCTACTGTTATGAATCGTCATGTAAATATCTGATATGCAGGATGGTCTTAGGCGACCCCTGTGAAAGGGTCGTTCAACCGCCAAAGGGGTCGTGACTCACAGGTTGAGAACCGCTGCTCTAAGCCATTAAAGCTTTGGGGCTGCTCATTACCTACAATAACATCCAGCCTGTTAGCACAGCCCCTTTTCTATCCTCTAGGACAGCGGTTGCCAACCTTTCAGACCTCACGGACCACCTGGTCTTCGGACCACTGGTTGGCGACATCTGCTCTAGGAGGCAGCAGAGCCTAACATTAGAAGCCAGAGCTCTGTTGTTAGACACATGGGTTTGACTTCCAGCCCTGCCTTTATTAACTCTACAATCAGGCAATTTATGTTGAGTCTCTGAGCCTGAATTTTCTCTCTATAAAATGGATGGTGAGACCATCTCAGATCGAGGAGAGGATTAAATGAAATAATAACGCAGTTAAAGCACTGAGACCAGGGCCTGGTACCTGTAGTGAACATTCGGTAACTGTTAGCTCCTTAGCTTCACAATGTGTGCTGACTGCAGACATTCAGACAACATAGGAAATGTCAACATTTTGTCCTTTGTATACTTTCAAATTTTGTTTTAAGACCAATTGGGCCCTAGCTGGTCTGGCTTAGTAGATAGAGTGTTGGCCTGTGGACTGGAGGGTCCCAGGTTCAATTCCAGTCAAGGGTACATGCCTGGGTTGCACGCTTGATCCCCAGTAGGGGTCATGCAGAAGGCAACTGATCAATAATTCTCATCATTGATGTTTATATCTCTCTTCCTCTCTGAAATTAATAAAAGTTAAATTAATAAAAAATAAAATCAATAGGATAGGATTGTGTATATTCTCTCATAGCCTGCTTTTTCTCTTAATAATGTGATATTTGTATGTTAAAAATAAAACCTCTGACAGCTGGAGGGACTCGGTTGAGCATGGGAAGGTTGCCAGTTCATTATTGGTGAGAGCCCAAGCCTGGTTTCCTGGCTGAATGTCCAGGGGTGGGTGGGAGGCAAGCAGGAGGCAGTCGATCAGTGTTTCTCTCTCTCCCTGTCATTTCCTCTCTCTCTAAAAGTCACATTAAAAGAAGTTTAAGATTGTAGTCGTCAGGAATAAGTTAAATAATACTTTTCACCTCAAGGAGCACTCTGAGCTTCACGGAATCGGAAATGTGTGCAAAGAACAGATCCGTTGCAGACAACACTCCCCAGAAACCAGCCTCCAAAACCTAAAGTTGTCATTACCCAGTGCCACTTGTGTTCACAACCACCAATATTTACAAAGGGCAGGAAGCGACTGGGATCCTTACCCAAAGGGCTATGCGCTTAACCATGGCTGGGTTTATCCAATGAAAGCCCAGAACAGGCACATAGTCCAGGTGTACATGGTTTAGGGTGGGACTCTCATGGTCTTGACCTCGTCATTTTAACCTCTGGTGTGTTCACCAAGGAGCCAGGTCCCCAGTGGGACCAGGCGTAGAGGCAGCATCCCGCTGTGAAGTGGTGTTCCTGAGGCTTGATCATTCTCAGGCCTCGGGCCATTGATGGCTGTGAAAAAAACACCACACGTCATTATCTGAGGTAGGGTTCTAAACCCTTCCCAAAGACTCTGAGAGGAAGAACAGACTAGAAGGGAGAAGATAGCGGTTGGGGACAAGAAGAAGTACTTTGAAAAATAATGTAACTCGCAAGAGTGTGCACTGCGAGTTCAGCCCCGAAGTCATGCAGGCGTCTCCAGGTCACCTGGGCCTGGGCCTGGGCAAGGGCCCTGAGCAGCCTGAGCCCGTGGATCCTGCCGGCGGTTGCCAGACTCTCAACAGGCCTTTCGCTTTCCACAGGTTCCTGCAGATGCAGAATCGCTTTGGGGTGACTGGTTGGTGGGTCTCATCTCAGGACCTCGCACTCTTGTGGCCTCTGAGATAGTGGCGTCCTGTCACTGTTCAGCCACTCCACTAGCCCTGGGGCTGGGGGACTTTAAATAGAGTCACCAAGCCCAGAATCTGAAGTCCAGGCCTAGGGTTATATGAGTGGTCCCTGATTTTGGAAATGGATCTGAATGGCCCCTCCATGCAAAGGTTCTAGAACAGGGGTGGGCAAACTTTTTGACTCGAGGGCCACAATGGGTTCTTAAACTGGACTGGAGGGCCGGAACAAAAGCATGGATGGAGTGTTTGTGTGAACTAATATAAATTCAAAGTAAACATCATTACATAAAAGGGTACGGTCTTTTTTTGTTTTGTTTTGTTTTGTTTTATTCATTTCAAACGGGCTGGATTCGGCCTGAGGGCCGTAGTTTGCCCACGGCTGTTCTAGAATGTGCCAGGGCTTGGAGTGAAGACTGAGCTGCTTCAGGAACCAGCAGATGTATGTTTTTATAAAATAGGAACTGGAAACAGCAGGACAGGAGTTGGGTCTAGAAGAGCATTATGACAACTTGGGTGTCTCTTCTGCAGGTGAGGGGATCATGGGGGTATTTGGAGCAGTGGAGGCAGGTGACCTGACCCAGGTCTCATTAGACGCCCTGTGGCTGCAGCATGATGCACAATATTGGGTGAGAGGGAGGTGGTGGAAGACTAGGACGGAAGCTGCTGTGAGTCTTGGTGAGGGTGATGGTGTCTGGCCCATGATGGTGGCCCTGGAGATGGAATAAGCAGTTGGATGTGGGATCTGTGTTTTAGGTGTGGCCACCTGGATTTTCTAATTTTGAGGATGAGAGGGAGAGGTAAGAGAGATGACATGAAGGTTTGGATTTAGCAGCTGAAGGAATGCTTCCATTCCTATGTGTCATGACCAGGAATAGAACAGTGACCTCCTGGTTTATAGGTTGATGCTTAACCCCCGCCCACACCATCTGGGCTATATTCTTTCTAAAATATTTTTAAATGTATTTTTTATTGTTGAAGGTGTCACAGATGTCTCCTATTTCCCCTCTGTATATGTTCTTTGGGGGATCTCTCCCAGTCCCCCCACCCCCTCCCCTGGGACATCTGTCAGTCTGTTCCACTTATAACCAGGCCTCTGGTCCCATCTTGTCCTTCCCCAGGGACACGTGGTACCACACCACCTTTATTCACCAAGGTCATTGGCTGGCCTCCAGCCCTCCCCTGGACGTTTGAGCAAACTACATTACCCAGAAAGCAATGCGCACATGTCGGCAGAGACAAAGACTTCTGCTGCCTGCTAATCCTGTTAAGGCGGGACTTCCTGCTTCCTCCTGGTCATTTTGACCTTTGTGGTGCGTTCACTGAGGCTCAGGGCTCAGCCCACCTGGTGGAGAGGAGCAGGAGGCAGCGTCCCTGCCTTTCAGGGGGGATCAGAGGCTTGTTGAGCCCCGTGGGGTTGGGCCTCCGAGCCTCCCCGACTCCTCTCCGCCGACTGAGTTCACGCAGGTCACCTGATTGGACCCTCCAGCCTCGGGTGGGGGCGCCTCACAGGTCCCGCAGCCCAGGGCGCAGCGTCCAGCGCAGTGAGTCCTCGTGGGGACCCGGAGTGTGAGGGGAGGAGGACGGCGGGGGGAGGCCGTGGGGGGGTGAGCCGGGAGGGGGGGACACCCAGACCTGGTTTGTGTCTAAAGGCGACGGAGAGGACGAGCGGCGGTTCCCGGGAGGAGTTTCACTTCCTGCTCAGGATGATGGGGCTGTGGGTGGTTGTGGAAAAAGAAGGACATTGGGTGAGGCAGGGTTCTTCATTTTACTAAACACTGCTCAGAGGAAGCAGAGAGAAGTGAGGGACGGGAAGGAGGACCCTGTGAAGGGTAAGGTAACTGAGGTAGTGCAGGGGTCTGGAGTTCACCTGGCCCTGGGGCTGGGTGAAGGTACAGAGCAGCCGGAGCCCCTGGGTCCTGGGGTGGGTGCCAGGCCCTCAACAGCCCTTTAGTTCTCACCGGTTCCTGTGGGTGCAGAGCCGCTGAGGGGGGGTGGTTTGTAGAGCTGATTTCAGGGCCTCGCTGTTATTTTCTCTGAGGTCGTGGGGTCCTGGGGCTGTCGGCCCCTCTTCCAGCCCTTGGACCTGGGGACATTGAACTGACACTCAGCCCAGCATCCTAAGGCCACAACTAGGGCTTCATGAAGTGGACCTGTTGTTGGCAACCAGTGGAATGAGTTGAGGGAGGCACAGGGACCAGGATGTGCAAAGGCACAGAGTGAAGAGTGATCTGTTTCAGGAACCAGAAGGTGTACTTTTAATATATATAATTGACTTTAGACGTAGAAAGGAAGGAATTGAGAGAGATAGAGAAACTTTGATGAGCAAGAAACAAGGATCATTTGCCCCCTGCTCAACCCCTACTGGGGATCTAGCCCACCACCCAGGCATGTGAGCTGACCAGGAATGGAACCTGTGATCTCTCAGCACATGGGTCACATGAACCAGGAATGTAGCTCACTTTATTTTTTTTTATATATTTTTATTGGTTTTTTACAGAGAGGAAGGGAGAGGGATAGAGAGTTAGAAACATCCATGAGAGTGAAACATGGATCACCTGCCTCCTGCACACCCCCTCCGGGGGATGAACCCTCAACCAAGGTACATGCCCTTGACTGGAATCGAACCTGGGACCATTCAGTCCGCAGGCCAACACTCCATCCACTGAGCCAACCCAGTTAGGGCTGTAGCTCACTTTAATATAGGGAATCATGGGCAGGATAATAATGGTCTTAGTAGTTCAGAAAGGACAATGTGAGTCTGAGGACTGGGTTTCCTGCTGGGGCCCCCACCTGTGGGGAGTTGGGTGTCACAACACAGCACAGGGACAGAGTGGTCATGTAGAGAGATGGGGATGGATAATGGTTTCCCAGTGGCCAAGGCCTTTAAAAGATGAGTGGACGTGAGATGAATTGGAGGCTGGAGAGTAATTCAAACAGGATGAGGCTAGGGCTAGTACAGAGTTGCTTCTCTAAACTTACCAGGATTTTGCTGTGACCCTTGGTTTGGCCTGGGGGTTGCAGACAGGATTGACTTAGAAGCATGAGTGGTCATCTGTGAGACTCACTGCGCATGTGGTAGAGGGCCATGGGCGATGGGACTTGAGTGAGGAAGGCTGTGACTGGTGAGTGCAGCTCCTGTAGAGGTGGGCTCTGGATTTCTGGGATCTGATGATGTTTTCAATAGGTGAGGTGGAAGGAAAATACACTCATGGAGAGAGGCCTTCAGACAGGACTCAAGGCTGCCTCTCTGAGTGTGGACTATCAGAGTGGGTGTAGTACTTCATCCAGCTTGAATTGGCCAGGCATTCTGTGGACCACACATGCTGAGTCATAAGTAAAAGGCCAAGGAGATGACTATGGGGGCTGTGGCTGAGGGTGGGGGAGTGCAGGAGTGAGAGAGGTGTGGTAGGAAGAGTGATGTGCCCTTTGAGAGGGCATGTGGATTCATGGCTGCAGGGCCCTGACATGGACATAAGAGGGAAGGAAGGTTGAGTCCAGTTCTAGTGGTGTCTGGATAATATATGGTCAATTTCAGATTAATTCCTGAAAAGAGGTGTGTTGTGGTGCTACATTTTTGGTCCAGAGCTTAGGTGTCATATATGTGCACACCTGCCTGCTGTTGTTGAGGGCTGGTACAGTGATCAGTAGGAAAGTAGCGTACATCACTCACCAGGAGTTGAAAATCTCCCCTAGATGGACAAGATAGAGGGTAAGAGAGAAACACGTTACAGAGGAGGTGAACTATGATTTTGGAAAAGATGTTGGTTAGGAAACCACCGTCCTCATGATGGCATATTTGTGTTATGTGTGACGTTGTGCCTCTGAGGAGAAGCTGTGTGGGAGAAGTGTGGTTCAAGAATCATGTGGAGCAGGTAGTGCAAAGTGATGGCCTCCGCACCCTGGGATTGGGGTTGAAAGGGTGAAGTGTGAACCTATGGTTTCTGGTGTCTTGCAGGGACAGTCTGGGGGACTGCAAGGATATTGCCTAACGACCAGCGTCGAATCACTCACACTCCCTTTATGGCCAACGTTTATCCCTCCCCTTGTTGGTCACACCCGCGGTAATGGACAAGAGACATTGTGGCCTTTGGCCTAATGTGAGGCCCAGGTTGAGGTATAATCTCCCTTGTCATTGGTCTTTATTGTTGGGGGAAGACACAGTATCAGTAGGACTATAAGGAGAGGGTTTCCTTAGTGAGATCAAGGCCTGGTATTATTCTGATGTAGGTGGTAGAGGGAGAGGATGGATGTGGAGGGTGGGGAGTATGACCATAAAATCCTAGGAGAGAAGCTGACCATGGACTGAACTGTCCCCCTTATGACAGGATATGAACTTTGAGGACGTGGCCATTGCCTTCTCTCAGGAGGAGTGGGGGCTCCTTGATGAGGCTCAGAGACTTCTGTACTGCGATGTGATGCTGGAAGTGTTTGCACTTGTCTCATCTATAGGTAAGAGCTTCTCATATGTTCTAGTGTCCTGAGGTGATGTCCGCTCTTCCTTTTCTCTCTCTCAAAGCCAGACCATGGGCTCTGCTAATGCCCCCACATTCTCGTACAATGTGCTGTGGCTGCTACTTGTGACTTGTGTAGAGAGACCTGAGCAATGGACTCACCAAACATCCCTAAGACCCGTTGCCTCAAAAAGTGCAGTTAATGTCTGAGAATCAGGAAAATGCAAGCAGCTGAATGGGTCCCACTTTGCTCTTCAACTCCGTGAGGGTGACTGTCTACCTCCATGGCTACTGCCCCCTTTCCTAGCTAAAGGTTCTTTACGACAGCTTGTGCCCGCTTATGATCATATCACGAACCATAGACTGTTCTTGTAAGACCCTACTTCAATTGTTGTTTGTAGTATGTCCTCCCTAAATACTATTGCACGCTGAGTTGCTCTGGCCCATGCTTTCTGCTCACCTCCATTGTCTTTCATCAGTAATCGGAATATGTAGATTGTACGTATTTGTACAGTAGAAGGTGCGTGGAGAACCCTGGTTTGTTCACAGGGTAACATGCAACATGGTCTCGGGGGAGGCCTCGCCCTGCTAAGTGGCAGCTAGGAGCTAGGTATGACATAAGGGCTTTTTTCAGGTCACACCAGGAACCTGCTCCTGTCCAACCAGTTAGGTGCAGGTGCCACAGGCCACACCTCATTTCTACCTTTTCTTTCCCATATTTGACACTTTGCTGACTTGTCATTTCTTCTGTGACTTCCCGCCTTCTGGCTTCTATCACCCTTGTGGCATTTTTATGTCACCTGATGCTCAGAGCTGCTCCCTCTGCAGTATTCTCCAACATGTGCCTCCACGTCTGTTACGAGGTGTGCATAGTTGCTCAAGTAGTTCTTCAACACCAGCTACTCGTTCATTGAATTTTACTTGGAAAAGATGTAACCAATGTACTGCACAGCTTGCCCGTGTTACCAGCAAATAAGCCCTGCTGAAGGCTGTTAGCAGAAGAATGAGCCAGAGATCCTGCTTCTCTTCCAGGTGGTACCTGTCATAATTGAGTCATATTTCTGGTGAGGTCTTCAGTGTTTTGTGATCTTCAGTGGCCCAGAACTTCTCAGCAGCCTCTTATTAATCCTTGTCACAGAGCTTTTATTTTCAGGCAATTGCATAGAACCAACATATCCTGTGTAACACACTTTTGTAATGGGAGATTCCCTGTCACCACAGTCAACATTAACTACCTCAGCATTTCTCTCTTTTCAGATTGTTGGCATAAAATGGATAATGAGGAGGCCTGTTCTGAGCAGAGTGAATCTGTACAAGGAGAGTCACAGGTCAGGGCTTCTGAGACAGAGCCAGCAGCCCAGAGGACCCATGTGTGTAAGTGCTGTGTCTCTGTGTTAAAAGACATTCTGCACCTGACTGAGTCACAAGCAGCAGACTTTGAGCAGAAAGCCTTCTTCAGGGACGCATGTGTGAGAGACTTCTGTTTCAGTGCAAATCCTCACCTGCAACAGAGGGAAGCCAGGGGAGAGAAGCCCTGGAAAGAAACTGTGGACAGGGCCTCGTTTGTGACCAGATGCAGCTTCTACTTATCTTGGGTGCTTTCAACCAGTAGGGAGGTTGGGGAAGACTTGCCCACGATCTCAGACCTTCTCCAGCACCAGGCCCCTCTCAACACTGGAGAGCCACACAGTGGCAGTGAGATTTCACAGGAATTTCTCAGTGGAAATAGTCATTATGATTGGGGTGAATGTGACAAAGCTGCCAGCCACAACCAGAAAGTTGTTCAGCATCAGGGTAACTGCTCTGAAGAAGTAAATTATGTGTGTAGCGAATGTGGGAACGTGTTTAGAGGAATTTTTAACCTTACGCAACATAAGAGAGTTCACACTGGAGAAAAGCCCTATGAGTGTAGTGAAAGTGGGAAGTCATTCAGGCAAACCTCTGCTGTCATTGAACATCAGAGGGTTCACACTGGAGAAAAAACCTATGAGTGTACTGTTTGTGGGAGGGCCTTCCGCAAAAGATCTCACCTCATCAAGCACCTCAGAATTCACACTGGAGAAAAGCCCTATGAGTGTAGTGATTGCGGGAAATGCTTCAGGGAAAGTAGTACTCTCATTCAACACCAGAGAGTTCACACTGGAGAAAAGCCATATGAATGTACTCTTTGTGGAAAGTCCTTCATACAAAGGTCTATCCTCACTAAACACTACAGAATTCACACTGGAGAGAAGCCGTATGAGTGCAGTGATTGTGGGAAGTCATTCAAGCAAATCTCGGCTCTCAGTGTGCATCAGAGAGTTCACACTGGAGAAAAGCCATATGAGTGTAGTGATTGTGGAAAGTTCTTCAATGTGAGCTCTGCTCTCAATACACACCACAGAGTTCACACCGGAGAAAAGCCATATGAGTGTAGTGATTGTGGCAAGTCATTCAGGCAAATCTCCCATCTCAGAGAGCACCAGAGAGTTCACACTGGAGAAAAGCCATATGAGTGTAGTGAATGTGGAAAGTTCTTCACTGAAAGCGCTGCTCTCAGTAAACACCACAGAGTTCACACTGGAGAAAAGCCACATAAGTGTAGAGATTGTGGGAAGTCATTCAGGCGAATCTCTATTCTCACAGAGCACCGGAGAGTTCACACTGGAGAAAAGCCATATGTGTGTAGTGACTGTGGGAAGTCCTTCAGACAAAGTTCTACCTTGACACGGCACCGGAGAGTTCATACTGGAGAAAAACCTTATGAGTGTAGTGCATGTGGGAAGTCTTTTAGGTACAACAGTCACCTCCTTTACCACAAGAGAGTTCATACTCTATAAAAGGCATGTGAGTGTCAGGATTGTGGGAAGTCCTACAAACATAGGTGTACCCTCGTATGACACCACAGAGGTCATATTGGAGAAATGCCACATCAGTGTACCTTCTTTTATAATAGATTAGCTCATATTTTTCATAATTTTATAGGCAGTATAAGGTTTATAAATTTTAAACACTGGTTTCCTTCATGTTACACAGGTGATTTGAGATTCAACACTAACATTTATGTGAATATGTAATCTTTCTTTTTGCTGAGTAGTATTGTGTTCAATGGATAACCACTTTGTCTATTGATCTGTCTGTGGTTTTGGTTAGTTCGACATTTGGAGTTTTATAAATAAATCTGCTGGGAATATTTGAGTTCGGTTCTTTCTACAGGTAAATGTTTTACTCATCAAATTATTGCAGTGTTGGTGAATGTTTTACATTGTAAGATATGCAGAACTGTGACCCCAATGGTTATTCCCTTTGCCTCCCACCCACCCACAGTAATGAAAATTCCAGTTTTTCCGTAAGCCTGCCAGCACATCTGATGGTTAATTTTTTAAACTAGCAGGTGCACAATGTGTATACTGTGAACCCATTTTGGTTTTAATAATGCTTTCCTAAGAATTTTTGATGGTGAGCATTTCTTCACACATTTATTTACACGATCTTTATCTCCTTTGTTATAATGTCTGCCCAAGGTCTTTTGCCTACGTTTACAATGAATTTATTATTTTAACCAATAGGAGGAGAGTGTCTAAGACACATGTTTGAAATTCACTCATTCCTCAATGACTCGAGAGACTTCTTTGCTGTATGGAACTATTGGGTTTAAATTATAGAAATTTTTCTCTCTCAATTTTTAGTTTATTTACAATTCATAGCCCACTTGTACCATATATTTAATAAGTTTAATCTGCATTGTTAACTTTCTCCACCACTCCTTTTTAAGTATAAGCATTCAATAGTACATTAATTGAAGTATAGGTTTCTAGTATTTGTCAATTTCCCTGGTGCAAATACTCCCATTGTCACCATGTTCAAACTGCCAAAACGATGTCCTTGAACATGGACATGGGAAAATATTTCAGTAGCACATCATTCTAGTTTATTTCCAACATGCTAATAAAGTAGCAATGAATGTGCTCAAGAACATCCTATATCAGGGGTCCTCAAACTTTTTAAACAGGGGGCCAGTTCACTGTCCATGAGACCGTTGGAGGGCCGGACTATAGTTTAAAAAAAAACAACTATGAACAAATTCCTATGCACACTGCACAGATCTTATTTTGAAGTAAAAAAACAAAACGGGAACAAATACAATATTTGTATTTGCATGTGGCTGTAGCTTGAGGACCCCTGTTCTATATAATAAAAGGCTAATACGCAAATTGTCTCTTCAACCAGGAGTTTGATCAGGAGTTAGGGCTGGCCAGCAGGCCAACTGCCCTTGACCCCTCCCCACAGCCAGCCCTGCTCTTGACCGCCCCCTTCCCCCCATCGGGGCAGGGCGGGCCAGTCAACTACTTGTGGCCCCTCCTTCCGGCCAGCTGAGTGATCAGCCCCAATCGGGGCAGGCCGGCCAGACCCCACCTGTGCACAAATTCGTACACCAGGCCTCTAGTCGATAATAAAATGGTAAAATTAGCTTTGTGCAGTGGCAGTATCATAACCAAGGAGATTTATCTGAGGCAAGATTATTGCTAATTGTTAAAAAAGGGAAAAAATATATAAAATGATAAAATACTGAAGTGGCAATTTTTAAATGTTTTTTAAAGTTTGATATAAGTATAATTGATTTAAAACATACATTTTAACTACATATATATTTTTTTTAATTTTTTTATTGGTTTCAGAGAAGAAAGGAGAGGGGGAGAGAGAGAGAAATATCAATGATGAGAGAGAATCATTGATCCACTGCTTCTGGCACACTGCACACTGGGTTATCAAGCCCACAGCCCGGGAATGTGCCCCGACCAAGAATTGAACCATGAGCTCCTGGTTTATAGGTCGACAGTCAACCACTGAGCCAGGAGGTCAGGCAACAATATATATTTTTATTGATATCAAAGAGGAAGAAAGAGAGAGAAACATCCATGATGAGAGAGTATCGTTGTTAGGCTGCCTCCTGCACACCTCCTGCTGGGATGGAGCCCAAAAGCTGATCATGTTCCATGACCAGAAATTGAACCCTGACCTCCTGGTTCATAGGTTGATGCCCAACCACCGAGCAACACTGGCCGGGCTAAAACACAATTTTTAACTTACACTTTAGATGTTTCTCTACAGGCCTGCATCCCTGAAGCCAAATTCCTCCTCCCCTTTTCAATGCTTTCTAATTGGCACATGGAATTACTGATGCAAGGACCTGGTCTACCTTTGTAATAGCTTATTTCATATTATATCCATATAAAGAAAACACTTATGAAACCCCATGAGTCCTATTCTAGCCTTCCATCACTATCTGTCATGGTAGTTCTTGTATCTATCTATTCTCAGGTACATTAATGGGTTATTTTACTTAAAATCCATGATATAACCCTAGCCAGTTTGGCTCGATGGGTAGAGCTTCAGCCTGTGGACCAAAAGGTCCCAGGTTCGATTCCGGTCAAGGGCACATGCCCGGGATTCGGGATCCATACCCAGTATGGGGTGTGCAGGAGGCAGCCAATCCATGATCCTCTCTCATCATGGATGTTTCAGTCTCTCCCTCTTCCTCTCTGAAATCAATAAAAATATATATTTTTTTAAATCCATGATATATTTTGCCCTGGCCAGGTAGCTCAGCTTGTTAACACAGCCTGTCAATAATGCCAAGGTTGCCTGTTCCATTCCCAGTCAGGGCCCATACAAGAATCAAACCAGGAATCTATAAACTTAGTGAAACAACAAATGGGTGTTTCCCTCTCTTCCCAGTGTCCCCTCTCCAATCAATATGTTGGTGTCTGTTTTTCACCAAATGTGTCCACACACGTGACCACCCACAGAGCTGGGGACCCTGTGGTGAACCAGCCAGCAGGGTTCTCAGGGCAGAGCATACAGTGAGGGAGAGAACAGGAGGGGAGGTGCCCCTGCTGTCAGTGTGGAGGGTGGGGACGGGGTCTGAGCTTCACAGTCACCCTTAGGGAATGGTGACACCTGTGCTCCCTGAGACTAAAACCCAAGGGGCCTGGAAAAGCTTGGGGCCTGGACATGCTCCCTGTGGCCGCTGCACCCTCCAGCCAGGGGTTGAGACTGGGCTGTTTTGGATTCAGGTGGTTGAGGAGCCCAGATTCCTCCCAGGTATTTGGGAGTAGCCCCTACTTCTCTGCGCCCCCAAATCTGTTCGCCTTTGGGAAGCCTTACCTCCCACCAACACACCCACACCCCTGAGCCCGACAGGCTTTGTTTGCATCTCTGTTTATGCACATCTGGGTAAGTTTCCACTTTGATTGCATTAAAAATTCCACCCCCGCCCTCACCAGTTTGGCTCAGTGGGTAGAGCGATGGCCTGTGGACTGAAAGGTCCCAGGTTCGATTCCAGTCAAGGGCATGTACCTTGGTTGCGGGCATATCCCAGTAGGGGGTGTTGGAGACCGGGTGTAAGCTGGCACGGTCCTTGCACCTGAAGGGGCTAGCAAGGCTGGGACCCTTACCTACACAGTTTCCCCAGACTTGTTTGGATGGCGGTTATCAGTAGAATGAGAGCAACCTTTGTAGAATGAGAACAGCCTTTCCTGGCTTACCAAGAAGTCTGTAACTATTTACTGAGATTTGCTGTACCGAGAACTTGTCCTTCTGCTGTGTCTCTCCCTTAGAGATTAAGAGGAACAAAGAATACATTCCTCTTGACAGACCTCCTATTCAGTGTTTTGTGTATAAAAGGCATCGCGTGGTTAATAAACTTACTGCAGATCCTCGATTGACCTGTAGTCCTCCCGATCCCGCTCTCCTGTCTTTCTTTCTTTTCTCAATTCCCACCTCCCTACCTCAGCCCGGTTCAACCTGTCAGGCTAGCCCTGACGGGGGTGTGCAGGAGGCGGCTGATCAATGTTTCTCTCTCATGGATCTTTCCAACACTCTATCCCTCTCCCTTCCTCTCTGTAAAAAATCAATATTAAAAAAAAAAAAAATCCACCCCCAGCCAGTCCTGGAGGTCACATGGATTCCCCAGGAAATGGTGCTGTGTTTTAAATGGGGAGAACCTTCAGCAATACAAGCCTTTCCAGAAGGCTTGGTCTCCACATGATACCACCTTGGGGGGATGAATTGCAGGTGGTCTCCCCCCTCGAGTTTGGCCTGTGCAGAGAAAACCCTTGCTCCTCAAGTGAGGTGATGGACTGCAGACTCTGGAACAATATACTATGGGATGTGAGGTGGAGGAGTCAGAGAGGTTGGGACCTGGAACAGGATTGGTGAGAGGGTTTCCTGCAAATGGGGGAATGTCTGTGTGTGTGTGTGTGTGTGTGTGTGTGTGTGTGTGTGTGTGTGTGTGTTCGTGTTCCCCTCAGGGTATTGCCCCTGTCTCCAGTGTGACCCTAGACATAAGCCGGGCCCCTGAGTGCCCTGCTGAGGCTGGGGGTGTTCTGTACCTGTGTGTTTCTGTGCTTGTGTTTTCTGTATGTTTCTGAGTCTGTGCACCCCAACAACAGGCAATCTCCAGAGAGGCGGTGTAGAGGGCCACATGTGCTTCTTCTGCAACTCCAGGTGAGCCCCTTCTGCTGCTGCTCTTGGAGGTCCCGTCACAGGTGCCAGGGATGGATGAAGAAAAGGGTCAGTTCATAGAACCCCAGGCTGTGGGAAGGGGAGGAATTAGGGAAGATTCTGATGGCAGCCTGGAGTTAGGGAGTGTGCATGGGGAATGTTTGTGAAGGACACTAGGCTTCGTGGAGGAGCTGGGGATCCAGGTCCCTTGGGAAGGAATGAGTGGGTGGGTGCATGTGGGGGGAGCTGAGGGGAAAGACTCCTAGGCTCCTAACCCCCCACTAGGAATGAGCAAGTGGATGTCCCTGGAGAGGGGTGTCCCTTGCCCATGTGAAAGCGAGGCTGACCCCTACGGGAGGAAGGTGCCTGAGTCTACTCAGAGCATCACTTCTGGACCCCTGAGTCCTGGTCCACTGAGGGTGCATGGCCACCCGGGACACAGGGGCCAGGAGGGAGAATTAGGCCCAGTGATCGCTGCACTTGTGGATGAGAACTATCGAGGGACCTGTTCTCAGTATGTATTACACAAGTGTCAGAAATGTTTAGGGGAACTACTGGCCACATGCTCCAAAGAGGCCAGGCGTCACAATGTTTGAGATTTTATAGGCTGGTGTCACTTGTTGTAAGACTCTGAGGTGGAATTAGTATTGGGACATTAACACTGTTTTCATAGAGCAGACACTGTAGTGAAAGTAGATGAAAAGTGCCTCTTCTGGACATAGGACCACATTATTCCAGGGCCGGTGGCTTGTATGATCTTTGATTACTTTGTGAGGACCTCCATCGCTGTTTCCTGTAGCTGGAGTCACTGGCAGAGAAAATAATCTGTTTTTGTTGTGTGTTTTTTGATTCCCCTGACCCCTCTAGGGTGTTGACCTGAAGGTTGTTGCTCAACAGGCATGACCTCAAAGCTGGAGGAAGGATAAACCTATAATCAGCCCCAGGATGTGTCTTGTAACCAGTCAGCATTCCTGTGGATTCCAATGGCCATAGTCTTCACTGCTTGACAACAGTGGCAAGGCTGTTCCCCCCAGAAAATGAGACCTGACATGCAACCAAGTGCCCCTTTCTCACGTGTGCTATTTGGTGAGCCCTGACCTAGAGATAAAGCTGTGAAACTGTCCCATGTGACATAAATCCATGTGTAATTCATACACAGGGTGGGGCAACAATAGGCTCATAGTTGTATGTTTGGAAACACAGAGATTATTCTTTTAAAAAATATTTTAGAAAATAATTTTATTCTTTTTTTGAGGGGAAGGAGAGTAAGAGGCTGGGAGAGATAAACATAGATCTGCTGCCTCCTGCACGCCCCCTACTGGGGATCCATTTGGGGATCGTCACTGACCTGAAATCAAACCAGAGAGCTTTCAGTGAATGGGGTCACACCCAATCAACTAAGGGCACTGGCCTGGGCAGAGTTTATTCCTATTATTATTATTAGTAGTAGTAGTAGTAGTAGTATTTATTAATGTATTATTTTCCATACCAGCAACTCTAAACCTACTTTTGCCACACCCTATATTTTCCTAATACCCTGTTGTAATCTCTCTTTCTGCCTTTCTCAGCCCTCCATGCACTCATGGATTCTCCTTTTTTACAATAGAATAATTCACATTGTTCATAATTTTATAGGCACTACTTGGTGTGTACTCTGTAACAAATACTCGTTTCCCCCATGTACACAGTCATTTTGAGATTCAACACAAATTCTCATGTGAAAAGATAATTTACCTATTTCTGAGTAGTACTGTGTTCGGTGAATAACCACTTTATCTATTGATCTATGTTTTTTTGTTACTTCTATGTTTGGGGTAATATAAATAAATATTTGGGGAATATTTGCTTTCCCCCTAACCCATAGTATAAAATAATTCCAATTTTTCTGCTACTCTGCAAGGACATACAATGGTTAACCTTCCCAAATTGTAACCCTGGAAATGCATATAAGGTTAACTCACTTTTGTTTTAATTCCATCTACCTAAGAATTTTTAATGGTGAACATTTTTTCATTTATTTGCACTGTTTTTATCTGCTTTGTTAAAATATCTGCTAAGAATCTTTTTAAAAAAAATATTTTTATTGATTTCAGAGAGGAAGGGAGAGGGAGAGAGAGATAGAAACATCAATGATCAGAGAGAATCATTGATTGGCTGCCTCCTGCACATCCCCAACTGGGGATCGAGCCCACAAACCAGGCATGTGCCCTTGACCGGAATCGAACCTGGGACCCTTCAGTCCGCAGTCCGATGCTCTATCCGCTGAGCCAAACCAGCTAGGGCAGAATCTTTTCAAATTGTCTAAATAAACTTATTATTTTAACTGAAGGAGGACTGTGCAGCATCTAAGACAAATGCTTGAATTTCCCTCATTCCTCAGTGATTCAAGTGACTCCTTTGCCATATGGAGCCATAGGTTTTGATTCTTGGAAGAAAAATTGTTTTACTCAGTTTTTTAAATAATTTTTTTATTGATTAAGGTATTACATATGTTTTACTCAGTTTTAAATCTATGTACAACTGAAGCCAAATTATACCATATACTTATATATTTAATCTGCATTGCTAACATTCAGAGCCACTTTTATTTAAATCTAAGCATCTAGCAGGGGTCCTCAAACTACGGCCCGTGGGCCACATGCAAATACAAATATTGTATTTGTTCCCGTTTTGTATTTTTACTTCAAAATAAGATCTGTGCAGTGTGCATAGGAATTTGCTCATAGGTTTTTTTTTTAAAACTATAGTCCGGCCCTCCAACGGTCTGAGAGACAGTGAACTGGGCCCCTGTTTAAAAAGTTTGAGGACCCCTGAAGGGTGTCCCAAAATTCACACAAGATTTTAATTTTACGCCACTTGTGCCATAAAGTGTTGCCAACAGTAAAAAAAAAAAGAAATCGCGTGATAGCTGACAGTTCAGAGTTATTAAAAATGGAGCGCTACACGAAAGAACAATGCGTTTTCATTGTTGAGCAATATTTTTAAAATAATGAAGGTTTGGCAGCTACAGTTTGCAATTTTCGTGCAAAATATGGTCGGAATAGTGATTTAACTTCATCAACTGTGAAGAGATTAATTAAAAAATTTAGGGAGACTGGATCAATTAGTGATCTTAAACACTCTGGCCGTCCTTCAACAAGTCGTTCAACACAAAACATCGAAGCAGTTCGTAAGAGTGTTGCTGAGAGTCCAAGGACATCAATTCAGCATTGTGGTCAAGAATTGGACATTTCGAGAAGCTCTCTACAGTGTATTCTCACGAAAGATTTGCATCTTCATGCTTACAAAGTTCAATTGACTCAGGAACTGAAGCCTACTGACCACACACAGCGAATGGAGTTCGTTGAATGGATTATGGAACAACAACAAGTGGATGGTGATTTTTCAAAAAACATCTTCAGCGACGAGGCTCATTTTCATCTTGCTGGCTTGTTTAATCGACAAAATTGTCGCATTTGGGGTTCAGAAAATCCACGAGTGATTGTTGAGAAACAAATACATCTACAACGTGTCACTGTTTGGTGTGGATTTGGGGCTGGGTGCATCATCGGACCATTCTTCGAAAATGCAGCTGCTCAGGCAATAACAGTTAATGGTGCTCGCTATCGCGACATGATAATCCACTTACCCGATATGCTATTCCTTACATAACCCTATACTTCATGAATCAATAAAAAATTTACAATTTTTAATTATAAACCTGTGTTTTCTATCAAAATTACTTCTTTCGTGAATTTTGGCTCACCCTTTACTAACACATTAAATGAAGTCTAGGTTTGTAGAATTTGTCAATTTCCCTGGCATAAATACTCTCATCATGGTCAGTGTTAAACTGCCAAAGTGAAAGCATTGAATATGCACATGATATTTCAGTAGCACATCATTGTATTTTATTTCCAACAAAATGATACAGTTGCAACAAATATGCCCCAGATATTTCATAATAACACAGTAAAATTATTGGGAAGCCTCAAGTTTTAAACCTTTTTCTAAAGTTTGATTTAAGTACAATTGATTTTAAGTCATACATTCAAACAATATTTTTAATTGATTTCAGGGAGGAAGGGAGAGGAAGAGAGAGATAGAAATATCCATGACGAGAGAGAATCACTAGAAGGCTGCTTCCTGTACCTCCCCTCTCCCTGGGAATTGAGACTGCAGCCCATGTATGTGCCCTGACCAGGAATAGAACCATGACATCCTGGTTCATAGGTCAATGCCCAACCACTGAGTCCCACCAGCTAGGCTGTAGTATTTAAAAATATATATATATATTTAGTTTTATTGCTTAAAGTACTACAAGGGGTATTACATATGTCTCCTTTTTCCCCCCACCCTTGACAATCAATATTTTTTTAAAAATATGTATTTTTTATTGTTGATAGAATTACAGATGTCTCCCTTTTCCCCCTGTATATATATATTCTTTGGTGGCTCTATTCCAGGCCTTCCCTCCCCTCAGAGATCTGTCAGTATCACCAGTTAAGCAGACCTCCAGTCCCATCTTGTCCTCCAGCTCCCATTGTGGGGCCTCAAACCAATACTCACCAAGGTCCTTGGCTGGGATGAGGCCTTCTCTGGGTCGTTGCTAAAACTACATTACCCAGAAAGGACTGCGCCAGAGTCAGCCGAGTTCGGAGCATTTTGTGACCTCACCATCCGGTTAGGGCGGGACTTCCGGCGCCCTCCTCCCGTCAGCCATTTTTCAGGCTCCCGTGGTTTCGCAGACTCCCAAGCTTCCCCGCTCTGGTGGAGCGGAGTGGGAGGTGGTGGAGGCAGCATCCCTGCCTTTAAAGGCGGTCAGAGGCTTGTTGAGCCCCGTGGTGTTGGGGCGTCCGAGGCTCCCCGACCCTCTCCGCCGACAGAGTCCCCTCGGCCTCACCCCATCGGACCCTCCAGCCTCGGGGCCGGCGCCGCTCGGGTCCCGCCGCCAGGGCGCAGCGTCCAGCGCAGTGAGTCCCCGTGGGGCCCCGGGGTGTGAGGGGAGGGAGGGCGCCGGGCTGCGGGGCCGCCGGGGGAGGCCGTGGGGGGGCTGAGCCGGGAGGGGGCACCCAGGCCTGGTTTGTGTCTAAAGGCGACGGAGAGGACGAGCGGCGGGTCCGGGGGGAGGTTCACTTCCTGCTCCGGGCGCCGGGGCCGGGGGTGGTTGTGAACAAAGAGGGACCTTGAGCCCCGAGGGCGGCGGGCATCACCCCCCCGGGGCGGGGCCAGGGCCCTGAGCAGCCGGAGCCCCTGGGTCCTGGGGTGGGTGCCCGGCCCTCAGCCCTTTAGTTCCCACCGGTTCCTGCGGGTGCAGAGCCGCTGAGGGGACGGGGCTGTGGGGCTCCAGTCAGGGCCTCACACTATCCTGGCCTCTGAGGTCGTGGGGTCCTGGGGCTGTCGGCCCCTCTTCTCGGGGGACCTTGGACCTGGGGACCTTGAAGGGACACCAAGCCCAGAATCCTAAATCCAGGTCAAGGGTCAGATGAGTGGCAGCTGATCTTGGCAGCCAGTGGAATTGTGTGTGACAGGTCCTTCCGCGCATGGGCTCCAGAATGTGCAAAGGCTTAGAGTGCAGACTAAGCTGATTTAGAGATGAGCAGGTAGGGGTCCATTTTTTTTTTTTTAAATAACATATGCTTTTTAAAAATATATTTTATTGATTTTTTTTTTACAGAGAGGAAGGGAGAGGGATAGAGAGCTAGAAACATCAATCAGAGAGAAACATCGACCAGCTGCCCCCTGCACACTCCCAACTGGGGATGCGCCCGCAACCAAGGCACATGCCCTTGACCGGAATCGAACCCAGGACCCCTCAGTCCGCAGGCCGATGTTCCATCCACTAAGCCAAACCGGCTAGGACAGGGGTCCATTTTTTAAAAACAGGAACTGGAAACAGTGGGACAGGAACCAAGTGTAGAGGAGCTTTGTGACCACTTGGGTTTCTGTTCTGCTGGCGATGGGGTCATTGGGGTCATGGGAGCAGTAGAGCAGGTGACCTGTCCCAGGTCTCATTAGACTCCCTGTGGCTGCAGCCTGATGCACAGGATGGGTGTGAGGACGGTGGTAGGAGGCCCAGGACGGAAGCTGCTGTGATAGTGCTGGTGAGTGTGAGGGTACCTGGAGCACAGTGGTGGTTGTGGGTGTGGAAGAAGCAGTTGCATATGGATCAGGGTAGAGCTGTGGCCCCTGGATTTTCTAATTTTGAGGATTGGAGAGAGAGGTAAGAATCAGAGATGATGTAAAGGTTTGGATTTAGCAACTGAAGGTATGAAAGCATCAACTGAGATGGAGAAATTCATAGTGGAAAAGTTATGTTCATGAGGAATATAAAATCTTTTATTTTTGCCTTTTAAGTTATGAGATATTTCAGAGACCAGTTCATGACCATCTGGAACTCTGAGGAGTAGTTCAAGATGAAGACTACTTAAAAAAATAACCATCTAGACCAGGGAGGAGTTGAAGGTCACCTATTTTTATTGGAGGTAGAAGAGTAATTCAAAAAAGGTGAGACTGTGGCTACTGTATATTTACTTCTTAAACACTCACCCAGATTTCTTGAGACCCCTTGTGTGGCCTGGTGTGTTGCATCCAGTTTGGTTGATTTGCTTATGGACAAGAGGGGACATCTGTGAGACTCACTGGGCATGGGGTAGAGGGTCACAGGCTGTGAGTGGAGAAGGGACATCAAGTGCAGCAGCAGTAGAGGTGGGCTCTGGGTAACTGAGATCTGATGTGGTTCTCAATAGGTGAGGTCGAAGGAAAAAACAAGTTGGGAGGGAGGGAGGCCTTCATAGCAGAACTGAAGGCAGGGTCTTGGGTGTGGGCATTCAGAGTCAGGTTAGTAGTTGATAGTGTTTGAACTTGCCATGCAGGCTCTGGAACACACATGCTGAGTAATGACTAAGACCAGGGAGATGTCTATGGGAGCTGGGGCTACGGGAGTGCAGGTGTGAGAGAGGTGTGGGAGGAGGAGTGATATGCTGTTGGAGAGGGAGTGTGAATTCATGGCCACAGGTCCCTGATATTGCCATAAAGGGAATGAAGGTTGAGTCCATTTCTGCTGTTAACTGGAGAATTTTAGGGTAACTCCTGAAAAGATGGCTGTTGTGGCGCTACATGCCAGGTCCAGAATTTAGGTGTCATATAGGTGCACACCGGCCTGGTGCTGTTGGGCTGATACTGTGATCAATAGGAATGGGATAGCAGACATCAGTGTCACCTGGGCTTGAATATGTCTACTGGTTTCGAGAAGGCGAGTTAGAATTTTAAAAAAAGGTGATGAGAAAACAACCCGTCCTCTTCCTGGCCTGTATGTGTTGTCTTTGAAGTGGTGACTCTGGGAATAAAGGTGTATGAGAGAAGTGGGATAGGAAGAATTATGTGGAACTGGTAGCGCAGAGTGTTGGTCTCAGCAACCAAGATTGTAACCGAAAGGGTGACCAGTGATGTTTGTTTATCAGGGTTTTGGAAGGAGAATTTGTTGGACAATAAGGATACCGCCCCACAGGACCAGTGTCAAATCACTCACATTACTCTTTATGGCCAGCATTTATCTGTCCCCTGTGTTGGTGACACCCATTGCCCTGACCCTAAATGTGAGGCCCTGAGGTCAGGTCTAATCAATCTGGGCATCTGCTCTGTTGCTGTGGGAAGACACAGTATCAGTAGGAATATAAGGAGAGAGTGACTCTGATGGATGCAAGGCCTGCTATTTTCTTTGATGAGGGAGGAGGGAGCAGATGGATATGGAGAGTGAGAAGTATGACGAAAGTAAAGACTAGGAGACAAGCTGATCATGCACTGAACTGTTCCCATCACGACAGGATATGGACTTCGAGGACGTGGCCATTGCCTTCTCTGAGGAGGAGTGGAGGCTCCTGGATGAGGCTCAGAGACTTCTGTACTGCAATGTGATGCTGGCAGTGTTTGCGCTTGTCTCATCTGCTGGTAAGAGCTACACATTGTCCCAGTTTCCTGAGGTGATTTCTTCTCCTCATTTATTCCCCAAATGTAGCTTTCTCTCTCCCACAGCCAGACCACGGGCTCTTCCATTTTATCCGATTATCCTGTCAAATGCACTGTGGCTGAGAGTGCTGAGTGTGTGGAGAGTCCAGAGCAAAGGACTCCATGAATGGCCCTCACACCCACAGCCTCAGATAGGACAGGCTGTGTCTGGGGGTCAGGATTGTTGCAAATAGGTTAATTGCCCAGCTTGCACTTTCTCTTTCTGGGAGGGTGTCTGTGTCCACATCCATGGCTTCCACTTCGGCACCATTCCTTCAGCTAAAGGCTCTTTGTGACTGCCTGTGCCAGGTTATGGTCTTCACTTGCATGAACCATAGCTGGTTCTTGAAAGACCTCCTTCCATTGTTTGTAATATTCTATTCCCTGAATACCATTGCAGGCTGTCTTGCTCTGGCCCAGTGCTGCCTACTCACCTCTGTTTTCTTTCTTTCTTTTTTTTCTTTCCATTTTTTAAATATATTTTATTGATTTCAGAGAGGAAGGGAGAGGGACAGAGTGATAGAAATATCAATGGTGAGAGAGAATCATTGACTGGCTGCCTCCTGCACGCTCCCTGAGGGGCATGTGCCCTTGACTGGGATCAAACCTGGGACCTTTCAGTCCGCATGCCAAGGCTCTATCCATTGAGCCAAACCGGCTAGAGCTGTCTTTCTATAGATCTCAGAATATTTGTGTTTTATGAGCTTGTACAGTACAAGATGCAAGGAGAACCCTGTTTTGTTTTTTCCCCAGGGGGAACATGCAGGATGATCTAAAGGGTTGCCTGGCCCTTGTGAGTTGCAACTCGCGCGAGGTATGACATAAGGGTGGTGCTTAGATCACACCAGAAACCTGCTCTTGTCCAACAGAGTTTAGCTCAGCCATGGGCAAACTACGGCCCACGGGCTGAATCCGGCCCGTTTGAAATGAATAAAACTAAAAAAAAAAAAAAGACCATACCCTTTTATGTAATGATGTTTACTTTGAATTTATATTAGTTCACACAAACACTCCATCCATGCTTTTGTTCCGGCCCTCCGGTCCAGTTTAAGAACCCATTGTGGCCCTCGAGTCAAAAAGTTTGCCCACCACTGGTTTAGGTTGAGGTGCCACTGCCAGCTGCTCATATTTCTACCTTTTCATTCCCATGCTTGACACTTCCCTGACTTATCTTTTAATCTTTGACTTCCTGGTTTCTGGCTACCTTCACCTTTTTGCCCTTTTTCCAGCACCTGTTCCTCTGAACTGCTCTCTCTGAGGTATTCTCAAATATTGACCTGCACATGTGTTATGAGATGCACAGATGTGCTTCACTAGACCCCACTTTTCATATCTTGAATTTTACTTGCAATAAGATGTACAGCTTGCCCATGTCGCCTGAAGACAAGCTCTGTTGAATACTGTTAGTAGAAGCATGAGCAGACTATCCAGCTTCTGTTCCATGTGGTGCTTGTTATGTTTGTTTCATATTTTGTTTGAGATCTTCCTTATATGGTCATCCTCAGTGGACCAGATCTTCACAGCAGCATCTTATCAACATTTCCTTCAGATATTTTGCTGTCAGACAATTGCATGTAAGCAAGGTGTTAATGTGCAACACACTTTTGCAATGAGACTTCTCCCTGGCAGCACAGTGGACATTCATTTCATCACCATTTTTCTGTTTTCAGGTTGTTGGCATAAAAAGGATGATGTGGAGGCCCGTTCTGAGCAGAGTGTATCTGTAAAAGTGGAGTCACATGTTAGTGCTTTTAAGTCAGCTCCAGCAACCCAGAAGAGCCATCGGTGTGGAAGGTGTTTCTCTCTGTTAAAAGACATTCTGCACCTGACTGAGTCACAAGCAGCAGACTTTGAGCAGAAAGCCTTCCTCGGTGACGCATGTGTGAGAGACTTCTGTTTCAGTGCAAACCCTCACCGACCACAGAGGGAAGCAGGTGGAGAGAAGCCCTGGAAAGAAGCTGTGGGCGGGGCCTCGTCTGTGGCCAGGTGCAGCTTCTCCTTATCAGGGCTGCCTTCATCCAATAGGGAGGGTGGGGAAGACTTCCCAGCCATCTCAGAGCTTCTCCTGCACCAGACCCCTCTCAACACTGAGGAGCCACACAGTCGTAGTGAGACTTCAGAAGAATTTCTCAAAAGAAAAAGGAATCACCAATGGGATGATTGTAAAAAAGCAGCCAGCCACAACCAGAACCTTGTTCAACATCAGGGCGTCTGCTCTGGGGAAGAGAAATATGAGTGTAATACATGTGGGAAACTTTTTACATGTATCTTTAACCTCAATAAGCATAGGCGAATTCATGCTGGAGAAAAGTCCTATGAGTGCACTGACTGTGGGAAGCTGTTCAATCACAGCTCTTCCCTCACAAGACACCACAGAGTTCACACTGGAGAAAAACCATATGAGTGCAGTGACTGTGGCAAGCTTTTCAATGACAGGTCATCCATCAAAAAACACCAGAGAGTTCACACTGGAGAAAAACCACATGAGTGCAGTGAATGTGGGAAGTCCTTTAGTCAAAGGTTTCACCTCACTAAACACCACAGAGTTCACACTGAAGAAAAACCTTACAAATGTAGTGAATGTGGGAAATCATTTAGGTGCAGTTATGACCTCTCTGTCCACAAGAGAGTTCACACTGGAGAAAAGCCTTACAAATGTAATGAATGTGGAAAATCATTTAGCCGCAGCTATGTCCTATTTGCCCACCAGAGAGTTCACACTGGAGAAAAGCCATTTCAATGTAGTGATTGTGGGATGTCCTTCAGTCACTACTCTAACCTCTTTAAACACAACAGAATTCACACTGGAGAAAAACCTTATGAGTGCAGTGAATGTGGGAAGTCCTTCCATCACGGGTATTCACTCACTAAACACAACAAAGTTCACACTGGACAAAAACCATATAAGTGCAATGAATGTGGTAAGTCTTTTAAGGAAAATTCCTCCCTCCTTATCCACAAGAGAGTTCACACCGGAGAAAAGCCGCATGAATGTAGTGTTTGTGGGAAGTGCTTCCTGCGAAGATCTAACCTCATTCAACACCTCAGAGTTCACACTGCTGAAAAACCTCATGAGTGCAGTGAATGTGGGGAATCTTTTCGCTTCAAATATGTCCTTGCTCAACACTTGAAAGTACACGCTGGAGAAAAGCTTTAAATGTGCAGGGAATGTTTTACTTTTCTCAGAATAACACCAAAGGAGAAGCTTTCACCCCCATTTATCTGAATGCAAACTCCTTTATCCGAACATACTCTCTGCTAGATGCCTCCTAAATTTCAGGTATAAGTGACGCTTTCAGAAGCCACATCCGACTTGCTAACCTACTCAGGCCTACAACCTGGTTGATGTCACTGCAAGTGTTTGTGTGGAAGCTATTTCACCCTAACACTTGGCTCACCTGAAGCGTGTGCATCCGTCACAACCCCTGCATACTCTGGGGCTGTGCTTGAGAAAATTATGAATATTCTGAGCTCCTGTGTGAACCTTCCTTCCTTTATTTCTGACCAGAGAATTGACCTGACCCAGGTTTTGTCCAGAGGACCCTCCTCAGCTAAGTGCTACCTCTTTCAGGGCATTGTGATTCTCACTGTGCTGTGATGAAGTGTTTCAGGTTCCAATGCATCAACCTGCAAACCTCTTGCTGTCCTCTGCTCTGGTTTATGATCTTAATGTAAAGCTGTTTTTCCTTTAATTTTGTTGGTTCTAGTCTCTCCCTAGGATGATTGAAAGGAAAGATGTGATGTGTCCACATGGACAGGTGAACAGATATGGTGGGTCGCAAACTGTGTGTGCGTTGGAAGGCACAGTTTGATGGCAGAAAGTCATTCTTTGTCTAATATTGGCTGATTTTGTATTGACGACCAAGGCCTTGGGAGAGAGTGTACATGACTTTGTGGTTATAATTTGCTCTCTGGTGCCTCTTGTATTGTAGAGCCAATGGTCGCCCTGAACAAGCAGCCTTTATTGTGCTCCTGTGAACAATATGAAGTATATTCTCTGTTCACAGTGTGTATTACACAAGTGTCAGCAATGTTTAGGGGGACTCCTCTCCACATGCTCCAAAGAGGCCATGTGTCACAGTGTATGGGATTTCATAGGCTGGTGTCATTTGTTGTAAGACTCTGAGATGGAATTAGTTTGGGAGATAAACACTGTTTTGATATTCATGGCAGACACTGCAGTTAAACTGGATAAAAGTGCCTCTTTTGAACATAAATGCAAGTTATTTCATGTCCTGTTTCTTATATGATCTTTGAGACCATTCTGAGGACCCCCATCACTGTTTGCTCTGGCAGGAGTCACTTGCACAGAAAAGAATGTCATCATTGTGTGGATTCCCCTGCCCCCTAGGGTATTCACATCAAGGTTGTTGCTCAACTGGCAGGACCTCACAGCTAGAGGAAGGATAATGCTGTAGTGAGTCCCAGGATGTGTCTTTTGTAACCAGTCAGCTTTCCTGTTGATTCCAATGGCCATAGTCTTCCCTACTTGACAACATTTGCCGCCACTGAGGCCAGGCTCGTCCTCCCAGGAAATGAGAACTGACATGCAACAAAGTGCCCCTTTCTCACCTGTGCTCTTTGGTGAGCCCTGACCTAGAGATAAAGCTGTGAAACTGTCACATGTGACATAAACCCACCTGTAACTCCTACACAGGGTAGGGCAACAATAGGCTCATAGTTGTATGTTTGGAAAAACAGAGATTATTCTTTTAAAATTTAGAAAATAACTTATTCTTTTTTGGGGGGGAGAGAGAGTAAGAGACTGAAGAGAAAGGTAAACACTGATCTGCTGCCTCCTACATGGCCCCTACTGGGGATCCATTTGGGAATGTAAACTGATCTGGAGTCAAACCAGAGTGCTCTCAGTGAATGGGGTCACACCCAATCAACTGAGGACACTGGCCGGGGCAGAGTTTATTCATGTATTATTATTTTTATTATTAATTCATATTATTTTCCATACCAGCAATTCTAAACCTACTTTTTGCCACATCATATATTTCCCTAATACCCTGTTATTATCTCTCTCTCTGCCTTTCTCGGTCCTCCATACAGTCATGGATTTTCTTTTCTTTACAATAGAATAGTTCACATTGTTCTTAGTTTTATAGGCACTACTTGTTGTTTACTCTGTACCAAATACTTGTTTCCTCCCTGTACATAGTAATTTTGTGATTCAACACAAATGCTTATGTGAAAAGATAATTTACTCATTTATGAGTAGTATTGTGTTCGGTGAATAATCATTATATCGATCTGTATTGTGTTTTGTTATTATCAGGTTTGGGGTAATATAAATAAATCTTCTGAAAATATTTGCATTCAGTTCTCTATATAAACATATGTTTTACTTATCAAATTGTTGTGTAGGTGAATATTTTATATTTAAGATATGTGAACCTGTGAGCCAATATGGTCATTCCTTTTGCTTTCCCCCTAACCCACAGTATATAAAAATTCCAATTTTTCTGCTACCCTCCAAGGACATACAATGGTTAACCTTTTCCATTAGTAACCATGGAAATGCCTATAATGTTAACTTGCTTTCATTTTAATTCCATCTAAATAAGAATTGTTTATGGTGAACCTTTTGTCATACATTTATTTGCAGTGTCTTTATCTCATTTGTTAAAATGTCTGCTGAGAATCTTTTTCACATTGTTTAAATAATTTTATTATTTTAACTGAAGGAGGACTGTGCAGCACCTAAGACATCTGCTCAAATTTCCCTCATTCCCCAGTCACTCAAGTGTCTCCCCTGCCATATGGAAGCATTGGTTTTGAATCCTGGAAGGAAAATTGTTTTACTCAGTTATAATGCTATGTACAACTGAAGCCCACTTATATACTTGTACATTTAATGTGCATTGATAGCATTCGGACCCACTCTTGTTTAAGTCTAAGCATGTATTACACATTAAGTGAAATCTAGCTTTGCAGTATCTATCAATTTCCCTGGCATAAATACTCTCATCATGGTCAATTTTACACTGCCAAAATGATAGCATTGAACATTGACATGATATTTCAGTAGCACATCTTTGTACTGTATTTCCAACAAACTGATACAGTAGCAACAAATATGCTCCAGAACTTTCATAATAACACAGTAAAATTATTGGGATCCTCAAATTTTAAATCTATTTTAAAGTTTGATTTAAGTACCATTTGTGTCAATCATATATTCAAAAAATATTTTAAATTGATTTCAGAGAGGAAGGAAGAAAAAGAGAGAGATAGAAACATCAATGATGAGAAGAATCACTGGTAGCCTACTTCCTGAACCTCCCCTCTCCCTGGGAATTGATCCTGCGACCCATGGATGTACCCTGACCAGGAATAGAAACATGACTTTCTGATTCATCAGTTGATGCTCCAACACTGAGCCCCACCAGTTGGGCTATAGTATTTAGAAATACTTTTAAATATATGTATTTTTTATTGTTGATAGTATTACAGATGTCTCCCTTTTCCCCCTGTATATATATATTTGGTGGATCTATTCCAGGCCTTCCTTCCCCCTCCCCTCAGAGATCTGTCAGTATCACCAGTTAAGCAGACCTCCAGTCCCATCTTCTCCTCCAGCTCCCATTGTGGGGCCTCAAACCAATACTCACCAAGGTCATTGGCTGGGATAAGCCTTCCACTTGGTCGTTGCTAAAACTACATTACCCAGAAAGCATTGCACGCATGCCTCAGGCTGTTAGGAGCGTTTTGGTGCTGCACATCCGGTTCGGGCGGGACTTCCGGCGTCCTGCTCCCGTCAGCCATTTTGACGACTCACGTGGGTTCACAGACTAACAAGCTTCCCCGCTCTGGTGACGAGTAGGAGGAGGAGGTGGAGGCAGCCTCCCCGCTGGGCAGGTTGCTCTGAGGCCGGTTGACCCCCAACACCCGGGACGGGGGTCCCTGGGCCTCCCCGACTCCTCTCCGGCGAAGAGTCCCTCGGCCTCACCCCATCGGACCCCTCCAGCCTCGGGGCCGGCGCCGCTCGGGTCCCGCCGCCCAGGGCGCAGCGTCCAACGCAGTGAGTCCCCGTGGGGACCCGGGGTGTGAGGGGAGGGAGGGCGCCGGGCTGCGGGGCCGCCGGGGGAGGCCGTGGGGGGCTGAGCCGGGAGGGGGGCACCCAGGCCTGGTTTGTGTCTAAAGGCGACGGAGAGGACGAGCGGCGGGTCCGGGAGGAGGTTCACTTCCTGCTCCGGGCGCCGGGGCCGGGGGTGGTTGTGAACAAAGAGGGTGAGGCCTGAGATGCGGGTCTGAACGTCCCCACAACCGCCCAGAGGAGGAGCCGCCTCCAGGAGAGAGGACAGCGGTGAGGGCGGAGGAGGGGCTGTGAGCACAGCAGCCCAGCAGGAGGCGCCCTGAGGACCAGCCCTGAGGGAGGCGGCATCTCCGCGTCACGTGACCTCGGGCCTGAGCCCCTGGGTCCTGGGGTGGGTGCCCGGCCCTCAGCCCTTTAGTTCCCACCGGTTCCTGCGGGTGCAGAGCCGCTGAGGGGACGGGGCTGTGGGGCTCATGTCAGGGCCTCACACTGTCCTGGCCTCTGAGACAGTGGGGTCCTGGGCCTTCCGGCCCCTCTTCCTGGCCTGGAACCTGGGACTTTGAACAGACAATCGGCCCAGAATCCTAAGGCCCCGACAAGGGCTTTACAAAGTGGACCCTGGTTTTGGGAATCGGTGCAGTGAGATGTGGGAGTGTCAGCCTGACTGTCTCATGTCCCGGGTGTGATTGCAGCCAAGGGCACAAACCACGGGTGCAGGCTCCTCCCCTGCTTCTGCCTGCCGGGGTGTCCGGCTGGAGGCACCCTATCTGCTCTTTCCCTCACGGCCATGTTTTCCTCTGTATTCCCGCTCCCACACTCTCTACAATCAATGGAGAAATGTCCTCAGGTGAGGATGTGTGTGTATGTGTATGTACATGTATGTACTTTTACTGATTAGGCTTAGAAAGGAAAGGCAGGGAGAGAGGCAGCGAACATCAGTGAGCAAGAACGAAGGCTCGTGTGCTTATATACAACCCCTATTGGGAATCCAGGCCTCAGCCTCAGCATGTGACTGACCAGAGCTGAAACCTGTGACCTCTCAGTGGTGGGTTGATGCTCAATTAACTGACACAACCATCCAGGACCGTAGATCACATTAATACAGGGAAGGAATCATGGTCAGGATGGTAATGGTAGTGGTAGCTCACAGGGACAGTGTGAGCCTGAGGACTGGTTTCCTGCCGGGACCCCTGTTTGTGAGAGGTGGGTGTCATAACACAACAAAGGAACAGAGTGGTCATGTAGAGTGTTGAGGAGAGATAATGGCTTTGCAGTGGTCAAGGCCTTTAAAAGATGAGTGGACATGAGATGAATAGGAGGCTGAAGAGTAATTCACACAGGATGAGGCTAAGGCTGCTACATAGTTACTTCTCTAAACACTCACCATGATTTTTGCTGGGACCCTTGGTGTGGCCTGGGCTGTTGCAGTCAGACTGCTGGGGCAGCTTAGAGGCTTGAGTGGTCATCTGTGAGACTCACTGGGCTTGGTGCAGAGGGCCATCGGGGCTGGGACTTGGGTGACAGGTAAGGGGAGAGATGTTGGCTGTGACTGCTGCAGGGACATCAAGTGCAGCAGCAGGGGAGGTGGGCTCTGGGAATCTGAGATCTGATTGTGTTTCTCAATAATTGAGGTTGAAGGAAAATAGAGTCATGGAGAGAGGCCTTCTTGGAAGGTCTCAAGGCTGCCGCTGTGAGTGTGGACTCTCAGCGTCTGGGCAGGACTTGATCCTGTTTGAATTTGGCAAGCATTCTCTGGACCACACCTGCTGAGTAATGAGTAAGAGCCCAAGGAGGTGCCTATGGGGTTGGAGCTGTAGGAGTGCAAGTGTGAACAAGGTGTGGTAGAAAGAGTCATGTGGCCCTAACCAGTTTGGTTCAGTGGATAGAGCCTTGGCCTGCGGACTGAAGGGTCCCAGGTTCGATTCCAGACAAGGGCATGTACCTTGGTTGCAGGCACATCCCCAGTAGGAGGTGTGCAGGAAGCAGCTGATTGATGTTTCTCTCCCATCAGTGTTTCTAGCTCTCTATCCCTCTCCCTTCCTCTCTGTAAAAAAATCAACAAAATATATTTTTAAAAAAAGAAAGAGTCCTATGCCCTTGGTGAGGGAGTGTGAGTTGTGAATTCATGGCCACACGGCCCTGACATTGACCTTAGGTAAATGAAGGGTGAGCCCATGTCTGCTGGTGTCTGGGTGATATAATAAGGGGAATTTTAGAGGAGAACGAAGATGGCGGCATAGGTTAACGCTGGAGTTTGCTGCCTCGAACACCACTTCAAAAATACAACTAAAAGACGGAACGGACATCACCCAGAACCACAGGAAGGCTGGCTGAGTGGAAGTTCTACAACTAGGAGGAAAGAGGAAATCATATGAGACTCAGAGGAGGCGCAGTGCTGAAGTGAAATACTAAGGTTCGGAGTGCATGTGGAGCGGGCCGGCGGCGGAGGGCGTGGTTGTTGTTTTCAATCGGGAGGGAGTTTCAGACTCTGAGCTACAGAACTGGGCGAGTCTCTAGGGACCCAGACTCAAATGGGAGAAGCCGGAAGGCAGCTTTCTCTCCGAGGTCTGCAGTGGTTGCAGTGCCGCTGGGGACGGAACTGAGAGCGTCCATAACTGCTCGCTCCGCCCGCCCTGTAGATCCCCTGGGACCCGCCCTGCCCAAGCCCTGCACAGAGGCATTTGCCGGAGAGCCTCAAGCAAAGGCTAGATTAGCACCGCCCTAGAGATTCAGCATAGTAGCTTTCACACTGTAGACACAGCTGACTCTCATAGCCAGTTAGCCTGGAGGTCAATTCACCCCCAGTATTGCTGACAACAATCAAGGCTTAACTACAACAAGACTGCGTACAAAGACCACAAGGGGGTGCACCAAGAAACCATAAAAAATGTGGAGACAAAAAAACATGACAGAAATGGAGGTTATAGAGCTAAAAAACGCACTTTTAAGGGCTTTCAATAATTTGCTAGAAACTGCCGATAAACTTGATGAGAGCCTCAAGAAATCTAATGAGACCCTCGATGTTGTGATAAAGAACCAACTAGAAATTAAGCATACACTGACTGAAATAAAGAATATTATACAGACACCCAACAGCAGACTAGAGGGGCGCAAGAATCAAGTCAAAGATTTGAAATGCGAAGAAGCAAAAAACACCCAACCGGAAAAGCAAAATGAAAAAAGAATCCGAAAATATGAAGATAGTGTAAGGATCCTCTGGGACAGCTTCAAGCGCACCGATACCAGAATTATAGGGGTGCCAGAAGATGAGAGACAGCAAGATATTGAAAACCTATTTGAAGAAATAATGACAGAAAACTTCCCCCACCTGGTGAAAGAAATGGTCTTACAGGTCCAAGAAGCGCAGAGAACCCCAAACAAAAGGAATCCAAAGAGGACCACACCAAGACACATCATAATTAAAATGCCAAGAGCAAAAGACAAAGAGAGAATCTTAAAAGCAGCAAGAGAAAGAAAGTCAATTACCTACAAGGGAATACCCATATGACTGTCAGCTGATTTCTCAACAGAAACTTTGCAGGCCAGAAGGGAATGGCAAGAAATATTCAAAGTGATGAATAGCAAGAACCTACAACCAAGATTACTTTATCCAGCAAAGCTATCATTCAGAATTGAAGGTCAGATAAAGAGCTTCACAGATAAGAAAAAGCTAAAGGAGTTCATCACCACTAAACCAGTATTATACAAAATGCTGAAAGGTATCCTTTAAGAAGAGGAAGAAGAAGAAAAAGGTAAAGTTACAAATTATGAACAACAAACATGCATCTGTCAACAAGTGAATCTAAGAATCAAGTGAATAAATAATATGATGTACAGAATGAACTGGTGATTATAATAGAACCAGGGACATAGAAAGGGAATGGACTGACTATTCTTGGGGGGGGAAGGGGAATGGGAGATTCAGGAAGAGACTGGACAAAAATCGTGCACCTATGGATGAGGACAGTGGGTTGTAAGTGAGGGCAGAGGGTGGGGCGGGAACTGAGAGGAGGGGAGTTATGGGGGGAAAAAAGAGGAACAAATGTAATAATCTGAACAATAAAGATTTAATTAAAAAAATACGGGGAATTTTAGGATAATTGCCTGAAAAGAGGGGTGTTGTGTTGCTACATGCCAGATCCAGAGATTAGATGCCATTTACCTACCCAGCTGCCTTTTGTTGTTGAGGGCTGACACACTGACCCATAGGAATGAGAAGCATACCAATACAGCCATGTTACCTGGGCTTGAAACTCTCCACTGGCGTGGGTAAAGCAGAAGGGTGAGAGAGAAATAGGTTATGGAGATGGTGAATAATTTTGGAAATGAAGGTGGTTAGGAAACCACTCATGCTCACCAAGGCAAATCTGTTACCCTCGAATTTCTACACCTGGGAAGGAAGCTGTGTGAGAGAAGTGTTTTTAAAGAACTATGTGCAACAGGTAGTGAGAACTGATGGCCTCAGCACCCTGGAATGAGGGTGTAAGGGGGCAGTGTGATGCCATGTATTTGGTGTCTTCGAGGAACTATCTGGGGGACTACAAGTAGACTGCCTGGCAAGGGCAGCATGAAATCACTCACATCTCTCCCTGTCCTATGTTCTTGACACCCACTTTATTGACAAGAGGCAGTGTGGCCTACGTGTGAGGCCCAGAGCTCAGGTATCTTTTCTCTGCTCAACTGCCTTTATTGCTGTCGGAAGACACAGCATCAATCGGAATATAAGAAGAGAGCGACTTGCATGGGACCAAGGCCTGCTGTCTCCTCTGATGTGTGGAGTTGAGGGAGCAAATAGTTGGGGCGGAGGGGGGGGGGGGGGTGGAGCATGATGACTATAAAAGCCTTGGAGAAAAGCTGATCATGGACTGAACTGTCCCCATCACAACAGGATATGGACTTTGAGGATGTGGCCGTTGCCTTCTCTGAGGAGGAGTGGGGGCTCCTTGATGAGCCTCAGAGACTTCTGTACTGCGATGTGATGCTGGAAGTGTTTGCGCTTGTCTCATCTGTAGGTAAGTCCTTCAAATCACGCCTGGTGTGCTGAGGTGATGTCCTCTCTTCCTTTATTCTCCAAAGGTAGCTTTCTCTCTCATAGCCAGACAATGGCTCTGCTAATTTCCCCCACTCTCGTGTCTTGGCTGCCAGGGGTGAGCTCTGGGGAGACCCCTGAGATAAGGTCTCTAGGAACCTCGCTAACACCCACTGCCTCAAAAGGTGCAGCAAGTGTCTGGGAGTCAGGAGCCATGCAGTGAGCTTACTGGGTCCCAGCTTTTAGTTTCTCTTCCCGGGAGGGTGACTGGATCCACCTGCATGGTCTCTACTGACATGAACCATGAGCAATTCTTGTAAGACCCTCCATCAACTGTCCGCAATATTCTCTTCCCTGAACACTGTTCAAGCTGTGATGCTCCGGGTCAGTGCTGGCTGCTTGCCTCTCCAGTATCTCCCACATTAATCTGCACATGTATTATGAGGTGCACATACCTGCTTAAGTAGTCCTCGACAGCAGCTACTCCTTTTTTGAATTTTACTAGGAATAAGACCTAATTAACCTCCTGCACAGCTTGCCTCTGTCACTATCAAACAAGCCCTGCTGAACGCTGTTAGCAGAAGACTGGGCTGGAGATCTGGCTTCTCTTCCATGAGCTGCCTGCCATGTGTTGTGTCATATTTCTGGTGAGGCCTTCCCTGTTTTGTGATGTTCAGTGGATGAGACCTTCACAGCAGCCTCTTATTAATCCTTCCTGCACCTCTCTTATTTTCAGACCATTGCACAAAACCCATGTATTATGTACAAAACACTTTAGCAATTGGATTTCCCCTCTCATGCCAGTCAACACTCAGTACCTCAGCATTTCTGTCTTTGCAGGTTGTTGTCATGAAACAGATGAGGAAGCCTGTTCTGAGCAGAGCGTATCTGTACAAGGAGAGTCACAGGTCAGGGCTTCTAAGACAGAGCTAGCAACCCAGAGGATCCATCTGTGTAAGCGGTGTTTCTCTGTGTTCAAAGCTATTCTGCACCTGACTGAGTCACAGGCAGCAGACATTGAGCAGAAAGCCTTCTTCAGTGACGCATGTGTGAGAGACTTCTGTTTCAGTGCAAACCCTCACCAGCAGCAGGGGGAAGGCAGTGGAGAGAAGCCCTGGAAAGAAGCTGTGGACAGGGCCTCGTTTGTGACCAGGTGCAGCTTCCAATCTTGGGTGCCTTCAACCAATACAAAGGTTGGGAAAGTCTCCCCAGGTATCTCAGGGCTTCTCCAGCAGCAGGTAACTCTCAACACTGGGGAGCCACACAGTGAAAGTGAGATTTCACAGGAATTTGTTGGTGGAAAAAGTCATCACAATTGGGGTGGACATGAAAAAACTGACAGCAACAGCAGGAAAGTCGTTCAACATCAGCGTATCTGCTCTGAAGAAGTCAATAATGAGGGTAACAAAAGAGGGAAAGTTTCTACACATACATTTAACCTCAATCAACGTAAGAGTGTACACACTGGAGAAAAGCCCTATGAGTGCACTGATTGTGGGAAGTTCTTCAGGCGATGCTCTACCCTAACTGAACACAAGAGAGTTCACAGTGGTGAAAAGCCCTATGTGTGTGGTGATTGTGGGAAGTCATTCAGTCAAAAGAGTAGCCTCAACAGTCACCGAAGAACTCACACTGGTGAAAAGCCCTATGCCTGTGGTGATTGTGGGAAGTCATTCAGGCATAAGTATACCCTCAACATTCACCAGAGAACTCACACTGGTGAAAAGCCCTATGTGTGTGGTGATTGTGGGAAGTCATTCAATGAAAAGTGTAGTCTCAACAGTCACCAGAGAGTTCACACTGGTGAAAAGCCATATGTGTGTGGTGATTGTGGGAAGTCATTCAGTCATAGGTATAACCTGAACATTCACCAGAGAACTCACACTGGTGAAAAGCCCTATGTGTGTGGTGATTGTGGGAAGTCATTCAGCCAAAAGGGTAGCCTCAACAGTCACCAGAGAGTGCACACTCGTGAAAAGGCCTATGTGTGTGGTGATTGTGGGAAGTCATTCAGTCAAAAGTGTAGCCTCAACAGTCACCAGAGAGTGCACACTCGTAAAAAGCCCTATGTGTGTGGTGATTGTGGGAAGTCATTCAGCCAAAAGGGTAGCCTCAAAAGTCACCAGAGAGTGCACACTCGTGAAAAGCCCTATGCGTGTGGTGATTGTGGGAAGTCATTCAGGCATAAGTATACCCTCAACATTCACCAGAGAACTCACACTGGTGAAAAGCCCTATGTGTGTGCTGATTGTGGGAAGTCATTCAGTCATAAGTATAACCTGAACACTCACCAGAGAACTCACACTGGTGAAAAGCCCTATGTGTGTGGTGATTGTGGGAAGTCATTCAGGCAAAAGGGTGGCCTCAACAGTCACCAAAGAACTCACACTTGTGAAAAGCCCTATGTGTGTGGTGATTGTGGGAAGTCATTCAGTCAAAAGTGTAGCCTCAACAGTCACCAGAGAGTGCACACTGGTGCAAAGCCATATGAGTAGTGAATGTGGGAAATCATTTTGCTCTAGTCACCATCACCTTAAGAGAATTCACACTGGAGAAAAGCCATATCAGTGTACTGATTGTGGGAAGTCATTCAGGAAACGCTATAACCTTATCCGACACCGCAGAGATCACTTTGGAGAGAAGCCTAATGAGCTGGGAAATCATACAGGCAAACCCCTGCTCTCACACATCAGAGGGTTCACACTGGAGAAACGCCATTTGAGGGTTGTGATTGTGGGAACTCCTTCAGCCAAAGCTCTATGCTCACGGGCCACAACAGAACACTGTTATTAGACACCTGTCTGTTTTTCTTCCAGCCCTGCCTTTTATTGCCTCTACAATCAGGCAGTTCACATTGAGTCTCTGAGCCTGGTTTCCTCCCCAGGAAATAGATGGTTAAGCCATGTCAGGTTGCGGAGAGGATTAAATGATATAATTCTTGTGAAGCATTGAATCCAGGGCCTGACAGGTGTAGTGAACACTGAGTAACTTAGCTCCATAGCTTCACAATGTGTGCTGACTGCAGATACGCAGACATTGTATGAAGTGTTGACTTGTTGGTCTTTGTATCTTCTCAAATTTTGTTGTTAAATGAATAGGATAGGATTGTGTATGTTGTCTCATAGCCTGCTGTTTCTTGTACAAATGTGAAATTTGCAAGTTAGAAATAAAAGCTCTGACAGCTGGAGTGGGGCTGTTGTGTGAGTGTCATCTCATGCACAGAAAGGTTGCCTGTTCGTATCCTGTTGAGGGCAGAAGCCAGTTACCTGGCTAGATGCCACTGGGGGCGGGGGGGGGGGGGAGGAAGCAGGAGGCAGGCAATCAGTGTTTCCATCTCATTTCCTCTCTACAGGGCAATTTAAAAATATATATATATCTCCATTTAGGTTTGTAGCCTTCAGGAATAATAGAAATAACGCATTTCACCCTGAGGAGCATTCTGAGCTTCATTTAATCTGAAATATTTCTAAACATGAGAACATGGCAGACAATACTCTCCAGATTCCTGAGTCAAGACCCCAAATCTTAACTTTTTCATTTCCCAATGCCACTGTCCCCCCCACCCCCCGCCCCAGCCACCACCTGCAACCACAGTATTTACAAAGGTCAGTGCCAGGTATCATCATGCCATCTGCAGGGCCTGGAAAATTACATTCCCCAAACGGCAATGTGCCTAATGATGGCTGGGTTTAGCCAATGAAAACCCAGGAGAAGCACATGGTCCCAGTGCTTATTGGTTTGGGCGGGACTTCCATTATCTTCCACGTGGTGGTCATTTTGACCTTTTTGTTGTGTTTATGGAGGCAGAGGGTCCAGGACTGGGTTACAACCAGGAAGGGGCTTCATGGGCAGCGGCCCGGCTGTGCAGGGTGTGTCAGGCTTGTGGAGCCCCCACTGGGGGGATTAAGGCCTCTGTGCCTCCCAGACTCCTCTCTCCTCAAAGGGTTCAACTCAGCCTCATCCCATTTACCCTCCATCCGACGGTGCTGGCGCGTGTCTGGTTCTGCAGCCCAGGTCACAGTGTCCAGAACAGTTAGTCCCTCGTGGGTGATGTGCCCTGTGGTGGGGGAGGGGCTGTGGGCCGCACGCAATGCCTCTGTGAGGACATGGTGGTGCGGCTGAGCCAGGATTGTTCAGCAAAACCCAGGCCTGTTTTTGTGTCTAAAGGCGACATCAAGAGGCGAAGTTGTGCGTGAGGAGTTTTACTTTCATTCTCAGGAAGCCGGGGTCATCGTTTGCCGTGATCAGTAGATGGACATTGTGTGAGGCAGGGTTCTGACATTTGCCCAAAACTGCCCACAGGAAGGACAGTCTAGAACAGGGGTGGGCAAACTTTTCGACTCGAGGGCCACAATGGGTTCTTAAACTGGACCAGAGGGCGGGAACAAAAGCATGGATGGAGTGTTTGTGTGAACTAATATAAATTCAAAGTAAACATCATTACATAAAAGGGTACGGTCTTTTTTTTTTTCTTCTTAGTTTTATTCATTTCAAATGGGCCGGATCCGGCCCGCAGGTCGCAGTTTGCCCACAGCTGGTGTAGAAGGTAGAGGACAGCAGGAGGGCGGGAAGGAGGACCCTGTAGGTGATGAGGTCACTGGCAGGTGCGCCCTGGACTGAGCCCCGAGGGCGGCGGGCATCACCCCCCCGGGGCGGGGCCAGGGCCCTGAGCAGCCGGAGCCCCTGGGTCCTGGGGTGGGTGCCCGGCCCTCAGCCCTTTAGTTCCCACCGGTTCCTGTGGGTGCAGAGCCGCTGAGGGGACGGGGCTGTGGGACTCCTGTCAGGGCCTCACTCTCTGGTGGCCTCTGAGGTCGTGGTGCCCGTGGGGCCGTCGGCCCCTCCTCCCGCCCTGGGACCTGGGGACACTCAGCCCAGAGTCCTAAGGCCACGGCTGGGGCTTTATGACGTGGACCCTGGTTTTGGCAACGAGTGGAGTGAGAGGTGGGGGTTCCTCCCAGATACAGGGACCAGAATGTGCAACGGTTCAGCTTGAAGACTAAGGTGGTTCAGGAACGGGCAGGTGTCCTTTTAAAAATATATACGTTTATTGATTTTAGATATAGACGGAGAGAGAGAGAGAGAGAGAGAGAGAGAAAGAGAAAGAGAAAGAGAAAGATCCATGAGGGCGAAACGAGGATCACTCGGTTGCAGGCATGTGACCTGACCCGGACGGAGGCTTGCAGCCTCTCAGTGCATCATGGGTTGATGCTCAAGCAACTGAGACCCATCAGCCAGGGCTGTTGATGACCTCAGTATAGGGAATCATGGGCCCTTGCTGGTGTTTTTTTTTTATATATATTTTATTGGTTTTTTACAGAAAGGAAGGGAGAGGGATAGAGAGTAAGAAACATCGATTCAGCTGCCCCCCTGCACTCCCCCCACCGGGGATGCGCCCGCAACCAAGGTACATGCCCTGACCAGAATCGAACCTGGGATCCCTCAGTCCGCAGGCCGACGCTCTATCCACTGAGCCAAACCGGTTAGGCATCCCTAGCTGGTTTTGCTCAGTGGATACAGCTAGGCCTATGGACTGAAAGCTCCCAGGTTTGATTCAAGTCAAGGGCACATGCCCAGGTTGTGGAATCAATCCCCAGTAGGGGGCGTGCAGGAGGCAGCCAATCAGTGATTCTCTCTCATCATTGATGTTTCTATGTCTCTCTCTCCCTCTCTCTTCCTCTCTGAAATCAATGAAAATAACAATATATAGGGAATCACGCTCAGGATGATAATGGTAATAGTCGCTCAGATGGGACAGTGTGGGTCTAAGGACTGGCTTTCCTGCCGGGGCCCCTGTTTGTGGGAGGTGTGTCACAGCACAGCATAGGGACAGAGTGGTCACGTAGAGTGTTGGGGAGAGAGAATGGTTTCCCAGTGGCCAAGGCCTTTAAAAGATGAGTGGACCTGAGATGAATTGGAGGCTGAAGAGTAATTCCAACAAGAGGAGATGAGAGTTGGTACATATTCTCTAAACACTCACCAGGGTTTTGCTGTGACCCTTGGTGTGGCCTGGGGTGTTGCAGTCAATCTTGTGGGTTAGCTTAGAGGCTTGAGTGGTCATGTGTGAGAGTCACTGTGCTTGGTGCAGAGGGCCATCGGGGCTGGGACTTGAGTGACGGGTACGTGGAGAGATGTTGACTGTGACTGCTGAAGGGACATCAAGTGCAGCAGCAGTGGAGGTGGGCTCTGGATATCTGAGGTCTGATTGTGGTCTTTTGTGTGTTTATAAAAATTCTTTATTGTTGAAAGTATTATATGTCTCCTTTTTCCTTATTGACCTCTCCTGCCCACTCTCACCCTCCAGCACAGGCCTCAACCCCCTACTCTCTGTCCCCATTGGTTATGCTTATATGCATCTACACAAGTACTTTGGTTGACCTCTTTCCCCTCCACCTCTCCCCTGTCTTATGTCTGAGGTTGACTGTTCAATGCTTCCATGTCTCTGGATTTATTTTTGTTCCATCTGTTTATGTTGTTCCTTACATTCTACAAATGAGTGAGATCGTGTGATATTTATTTCTCTCTGATTGGCTTACTTAGTTTAGGTCCATCCGTGCTGTTGCAAATGGTAAGAGTTCTTTCTTATAGCAGTGTAGTGTTCCAGTGTGTAGATCAGTGATTCCCAAAGTGGGCACTACCGCCCCCTGGTGGGCGCTGCAGCGATCCAGGGGGGCGGTGATGGCCACAGGTGCATTTGGGGGCGATGAGTAACTGCTATTAAAATTTTAAAAAAATTAATTTCCAGGGGCTGAGTAATATTTTTTCTGGAAAGGGGGCGGTAGGCCAAATAAGTTTGGGAACCACTGGTGTAGATGTACCACAGTTTTTTAATCCACTCATCTGCTGATGGGCACTTAGGCCGTTTCCAAATCTTAGCTATTGTAAATTGTGCTGCTGTTTACATACGGGTGCATATGCAGGCAGTCCTCGGGTTATGTCGAGTATGACGTAGGTCGTTTCGTGGTTACATCACCATCTCCCATTTATTATAAAACAAAAATTTCCATCATTTCAACATATGTACATATGTGCTTTATGTTTTTTATTATTTATTTACCACAAGTAAAGGTCAGGAATTATCTTTTTTTTTTGGTTCACAAGAACTGATTTATTTTTATTTTTTCAAAATATATTTTATTGATTTTTTACAGAGAGGTAGGGAGAGGGATAGAGAATTAGAAACATTGATGAGAGAGAAACATCGATCAGCCGCCTCCTGCACACCCCCTATTAGGGATGTGCCCACAACCAACGTACATGCCCTTGGCCGGAATCGAACCTGGGACCATTCAGTCCGCAGGCCGATGCTCTACCCACTGAACCAAATGTGTCCTTATCCCCCCAATGTCCTCTCCTCCCCCCAATCCTGCCCTCACCCTCACCCCCTGTTGTCCACATCCATGGCTTATGCTTATATGCATGCATACAAGTCCTTTTGGTTGATCTCTCCCCCTCACTCCCACCCTCCCCTGCTTTCCCTCTGAGTTTTGAGCATCTGATTGATGCTTCTCTGTCTCTACATCTGTTTTTGTTCATCAGTTTATGTTGTTCATTATAATCCACAAATGAGTGAGAGCATGTGATATTTATCTTTCTCTGACTGGCTTGTTTCACTTAGCATAATGCTCTCCAGCTCCATCCAT